GTATAAGGATAGCCTTAAATCTGAAAAGTGCCAAATCAACCTCCTCACCTGGGAGACGATTACTCCACGCCGTAACGCTTGGAGGATCACCACACGAGAAGGTGTCAATACTTTCGAATTAGCCTGACTGCAAACTGAGGCAGACAAGCACCAACGCCGGAAAGACACTGCCGCCGCCCCTCCCGCACTAGATAGAGCCATCCACATGTGCAACATCTGTGAACGACTCTGTCGGTCCCGTATTGGCCTCTTTAGTCACCTTAAATTTCACCAACCTAGATGACATCCTTAACTCATATCATTGTATCATAGCTGGATGATCGTTATACTCGATTCCGAGTGACAGCAAAGTAGTGTCATGAGTGATGATTTTACTTTATGAACTTCTGTCTGTCTCATCTGTCATGGGTTTTATGGTATTATGGTGTGGCATTTTCATGTGTTGTTATGTGATGTAATAGACTACCATTTGTGGTAAGATTTTCATGTACAGTGCATAAATTAATTTTCCTTTTATATGTGGTGCACAATATTTCTCCATTCTCTACCATCTTGGTCAATGTTTTCTTATTACTTAAACTTTACTTTATCCCCTTCACCACCAATCACCGCTGTAAGGGCTGTAACGAGCGGGATGGTTGTCTGCCGCTTGTTTGCGGCCCCATTAGGGGGGCAGACAGAGGTGAGAAGGTCGCTGCTACCTCATCGCACACCAGACATGATCCAGCCTTCACCACAGCTGTTACTTCACCCCACTTTTCGATTCCAACTCTGGTTGTGTATTCATCTGAGGTTCCTGGGGCTCGTGGGCTGATTTCCCAGACCTTCACTATTTGGTTGTCAACTCCTGTCACCTACTCCAGTTACTGCTGCGGCTGCTACGTGATTGCCACTTCCTCCACGCCCTATCCACCATCTATGCCTTGGCCTCTCTCCTGTGTGGTAAGACATCGTCCACCAACACCGGCGCCAAGTGAGGAAGCTGCCCTGGACCTTCCTGCTGAGTGCAAATCACCACGGGACCAGAACATTGCACCGTGCTGATTAGAAGGAAGATTCATCTGCAGCCGTAGGAAATATCTGTACTTTGATGTATTGATTATTTTCTTTTAAATAATTGTTTAACTCCAGTGCTGTTTATTTAATATTTGTGCGAGTAGTGTCAGAGTTAAATTATTGTGATTATTTTTGTAGTAAAGAGATGTCTATCTCTAATGATTGTTTGTTACCCCTTGGAAACCCATGGTTCTTGACTTTCCTTTTTATAAGATCCTGATTAGGTTGGCAAGGGATTTATATCCCAAAGGCCAGGCCTTTACAACCGCCAATTGGCTTGTTGGCAAGTGCTGGGCATATACTTCTCACAAGGTATTTCTTCCTTTGTGTAATATGATGTGTCCACTGCCACTTCAGTTCCTTTGACTTTCCAGTAATTTCCCATATTTTGTTGTGGGAAATCATGTACAGTATTGTAATTTCCTTTCTCTTTGTCTCAACATGCAATGCCTAACATACTATCTTTCCCTCCATCATTGTGTACTGCACTTAATTTTTGGGGGGATCACTTGAAAATTAGATAACACAGCTTTGTCACCTGGGATGGTTAGATTGGTTTAGCATGAAGGTGAGTAATATTTAAGTGAAATAAGTTGGAGCGTCTGATCTGTCGGTGATCCAATTTTGTATCATTTTTGTTTGATCGTCACATCTCCTGTAGTGGATTCCTCCCCTACAAACGCGGTTTGTCGCTGACTAGCCGACCCCGCGAATTCCCCAGTGTATGTCTCGTGGTCTAGGACAGCAACCAACACCGCCTTATATGACTGAGATCAACTATTAAGCCAATCCTACCTCCGCTATATAAGACCTCACCTTGTGGTGACCTATCTCTTTCTACCTACAGCCACCAGCAAGCAACACCTCCTCCTCCGCTCCTGCCTGGCGGCTCCCGCTCCAGCCGGCGACCATGGCGACCCACAAGCTGGTCCTCCTCTGAGCACCCTCACCAACCAGCTCTCTCTACTCAACGCTTGTAACCATGCTGCCTTCCCAGCACCAAGCTGCATTGTACATCCAATACAATATGTATACAGATAGCACATTGTGAGTTTCCTTTCTCCATCCCATCCTGAGTGTGAACCAATACCTCGTACCCCACAAATGGTGACCCCCGGAGATTCGCACTCACACAGGATGGAGGAGAAATACCTCGTACCCCACAAATGGTGAACCCCGGAGATTTGCACTCACACAGGATGGAGGAGAAACCAATCACTCTCCCAGTCTTCAAGCAACATGGAAGACTGGCTTATCCATACAGAGGAAGCTCTCATCGGCTCTGCAGCTACTGTCAAGACACCGCAGGTAAGACACCCTAGAGCAGCTCTGCTACTCTAAGCAGACACCAGCTTCTCTTCCTGCCCCAATCACCACGTTACCGACCCCAGCACACCCGTCCTGCCTCAGACGCCGTCCCCGGCCCAGCAGTACCCCCTGCCACTGTCCTGGACTCTCCTCCTGACTTGGACCCTCCTCCAGTCCTGCCTGGCAGCCCCTGCTCCCGACGCGGCCCATGCGCCTGAGGCAGCCCCACACACACCCTTTTTTTTTTCTCTCCCTCAGGTACTCCCTGCTGCTGTCCTGCACCCTGCTGCTGTCATGGACCCTGCTGCTGTCATGCACCCTGCTGCTGTAATGGACCCTCTTCCTGATGCAGCCCCTGCTCCTGACCCAGAGCCACTCACCCCAGCAGGCACATCTGAGGACTCTGTACCTGCCACGAGAGAAGCACAACATTCATTGCCTCCACAACCCTCCTTCTCCCTCTCTTCTCCCACAGATCTCGTGTATCTAGACAAAGTTGTCTCCCCTATCGGCCAGCTCATCCACGCCCTCGCCGTTATGTCTCACGTGTAGCATACAACCCAGCCGACAACATGTCTCCTGCACCTCCCGTTCTGCCTCATATGTGGGATGCAACCCTGCAGACAACAAGTCTCCTACACCGCCTGGAGGGAAGGGGGAGTATTGATTGTAGTGGATTCCTCCCCTACAAACGCTGTTTGTCGCTGACTAGCCGACCCCTAGAATTTCCCAGTGTATGCCTCGTGGTCTAGGCCAGCAACCAGCGCCGCCTTACATGACTGAGATCAACTATTAAGCCATGCCTACCCCCGCTATATAAGACCTCACCTTGTGGTGACCTATCTCTTTCTACCTACAGCCACCAGCAAGCAACACCTCCTCCTCCGCTCCTGCCTGGCGGCTCCCGCTCCAGCCGGCGACCATGGCGACCCACAAGCTGGTCCTCCTCTGAGCACCCTCACCAACCAGCTCTCTCTACTCAACTCTTGTAACCATGCTGCCTTCCCAGCATTAAGCTGCATTGTACATCCAATACAATATGTATACAGAGAGCACATTGTGAGTTTCCTTTCTCCATCCCATCCTGAGTGTGAACCAATACCTCGTACCCCACACTCCCATGCTTTTTAATGAAGTACAGTACAGCACTTTTTATTCTTGTTATTTATCATTTCACCACTCATCAGCTTACCAGCCATTCAGGTGGTTGGTTGATTTGTTCTCCCAATCATCCCGACTCTTCCTTTGATTTTGTTTTACTGCTATTTATATGTAACACCAGCTACCCTGAATATGTATACTGTATTGTACATACAGTATTCATTATTCCTAACTTCTTCAAGGAATAAATTTTTGCCTTCAGTTGAACAAGACTTTGCAAACCTGTTGAACATTAGTTTACTTTTATCCTCTTTACCATTGATCGGCTCGTTAGCCGCTTGGGCGATCGGTTACGTCTCTGCTTTCCTATGTTTTATTCACTTATACTGTAGTATTTGTGTTTGTAATTCTGTCAAATTTTCTGCAAATAATATGATTTCATCAGTAAAATTAAAGTGATTTCAGTACTCATCATTATCATTGTTTAATGGCCTTTTTCCATGCTTGGGTGGGTTAACTGCAGTTTCATGATACCAGCTCTCCATGTTGTATGGTCTCTTGCAGTCTTACTTGTGAGGTTCATTCTTATAATGTCATTTTTACTTAATCTCTCTACCCAATCATTCTTGGCCTGCCTTTGACTCCTTCCTTTCAAATTTAGAGTTATGCACCTCTTGACCCTGTTGGTCTCATCTATTATCTCCATATGCCAAGTCATTTCAGCATACAGTGTACATTTATGTAAAAATTTGCCATTACAGTACTGTACTCTCAATACCCAGCCACCCTCTTACCTCTGAACAGGGTTTCCTGTCTTTCAGTGTCATGTTGCACATCAACCTCACCATTCTCATTTCAGCTCACTCAAGCTTGCATATGCTCATCCTCTTTAACTGCCAATATTTCACTGTCATACTTCATGCTTTGCATGATATTTCTATAAATCTTTCCTTTTATTGCTGCCATCGATAAAGGCAGGAACTCCCTAAACTTCCTCCAGTCACTTTTAGTTCTTGCAACTGAGCAGGCTTCAGCACCCACCTTCAGCAATGATAATTTTACCAGGGAGCAGAACTTATTGATACAGTCCAGATCTTTGTTACATACTTGTAGGGTATACCGGTATATGCAGTACATTACAGCTATATATTACACTACTGTACAGTAATGATATATTTGTTACATACCTGTACTGTATATTGTACCTGTATACTGTATGGTATACTGTATTATATTATGTAATACTTTCTTTTTTATTGTATGATAACAAAGTGGATTTTTTACACTCAAACTTTCTTTGTGGCTTTTTCTGAGGGAATAATATTCAGGTGTTTCTGTTGGATCTTTGTTAGTTGCAACAGTAGTGCCAGTGTTGAACTTCTCAGTTCTTTCTATACCTCTTTGGACATTCTAGATATCCTCAGGATTAATAAATTACAGTTTATTTACCTCATTGTGTTGGTTTAAACATGTTTATCATAGGACTAAGATTAAATTAAATGTACACTTTTAGTAATATTGTACTCTTTCCACAGAAATGCTCATGTTGTTTGACTCCGGATGAGGTGGTACTAACTGTTGACCCCGTCCTTCATCATACTCAACCACTCACCCACTCCTAGCATCCCATAGACCTTTCAAGCCTCATCCCAGCAAATACAGTGTGATCTCTTCACGTCCATCCCAAAAGCATTGTAAGAGAAAAGCAAACATGTTTCTTTTACCTGCAGCAGGTCCATCACCACAAACACTAGAACGATGCAAATTTGTCTGCAACTTAGTAAAGAAGACCTTTTCGGTGTCTTACGAACACCTGTCTTTGTTGAATGGCAGAAGCATCGAGGACTTCTGTTTCCAAGAAAATGCTGCAAGATATATCATAAGTGTATTTAACACCAACGATAAAGAGTTGATAATGTCAGGGGTAACCCCAGAAAAAATGGACATAAAACTTTTGTATAAGTTATTACGGTATGTGTGTGGCTTGGCTCCACGGGAAAACCCCATTTGGAGTAACAAATCTGGCGCTCTAGAGTTTCTCATTTACTTTGCTTACTCAGAGACAAGGGCACTGAAAGAAGCTGCTGCCTGCACAGAACAAAATATCAATCAGCGACTTGACAATTTACAAGAATATCTAGGACAGATTCTTGACATAGTTATGGAGAGGAAAGAGGTAAACCTTGATAACATTAAAAGTGAGGTACTGAAACAACATACTGAAAGTACAATAGGCCACAGTATAATAGTATCCTGCTCCACGGATATTTCTTATATGTACAACATATTAACCCAGCATTTAGTCCATAGAGTGTTTGTATTGGTATATAAACAACTCAGTGACCTTAATGGAAAAAATGTTTGTGACTACATCAGGAAAAATAGTAAAATACGTAGGCCAATGGTATTCTTTACTCCTGAGGAAAAAGTATTATTAGAAGATTCCAGTATCCAACCAGAGAAATTATCCATTTGCCTATTACACAAACTCCTTCCTCGTGTGTGTGGTCTCTTGAACCATAGTGAGTGGGCCACATCCCCAGATACTATAGAGTTCTACCTTCACTGTATTAAGCAAGAAAATGATAATGTAGGAATGTTAGATGGTCAGTCATCTCAGAACCATTCTCACCAATTGTATAGAAATGTGGAAAAGATTTTGTACTTGCTTGGGATAAAAATAAACAAAACAAAATATGACTTACTGAGAGAGATGCCAGATGAGCCAAGTGATATGGATGATGCCTTTTTGTCTCCCATTGCTCAAGAAAACCAAAATGATCAACATTCCTTCTCTCACACAAACCTGCAGCCTGGAACTTCCTCTGATACAACCCCACTGATTGAATCTCCTCCCAAGAAAAATCGACTGTCTTCACCTCAGTTACCTAGTGAGAAGGCACCTGTTAGAACACTAACATCAGAGGATGTTAATATTTTACACTTGTTTAAAGCACTATGTACTGGAAGTTCAGCAGCAAATACCATGATTATAGTTTATGAGGCTCTTAATGGTGATATCAATAAGGTTGAGCATAAGATTAAAAAGAAACATTTCACTGTTGTTGAGCTAAGCCAGTTACAGGGAGATCTTAGTCGAACAGACATTACCTTACTGTACAAACTTGTAAGGTTTGCATGTGACTTGGCACCACCAAATGACCCTATTTGGACCACTCAGGGGGACAATCTTGAATACTATCTTGCCTCTGTCAAAAAAATGAGGAATGAGCTGGCTCATGACATTACATCCCTAACAAATGAAGAGCTGAGAAAAAAAATTGAGAATCTAATAAGTCTGTTAGAAAATATCTTGATTAAAACCGGTATAAAATCGAATAGAAATTTGCAGGATAAAATTCAAGAAATGAAAGATGAATTACAACCACTTTCAAACCCGCCACAAGATCTACCAGACATAAACAATTATTACAAGAAGATGAAGGAACTTAAAGAAGAGTTGGAAAGTCAGATTGTACAAGCTGCTGATAAAGAACTGCACAAACAATATGAACAGCCTCACTTTAAAAACATTTCTCCTATTACTTGGTGTTACGTCAATGAACATAAATATCTAACTATAGACAAGCTGTTTACAGATTTAGAAATTACAAATGATATGCATGATAAAACTAATAATGCAAATTCCTGTGGAGATGCATTGCTTTCTGTGTTACCTCAAGAGAATGAAGGTATAGGATCCAGGATTATAATTGTTAAGGGTGTTGCAGGGGTAGGAAAAACATCCCTGTGTAAATATCTTGTTCATCTCTGGTGTGCCGGTCAAAAACATAACAATCTGAAAGGTATTGATTTACTCATTTACATACAGTGTAGATATGTAAACACATCTTCTATATCAACATACTTGAAAAATAACTTGCCAAATACATTTAAGTATATTAATAAGGATGATATCATTCCTCTGCTGCAAGAACCAAGAGTGCTATTCTTAGTGGATGGATATGATGAAGCTCGCAGCGAAGCCAAGGACCTTGTGGCAGATATCCTTAAATCCTTTCCAGTATGTAGAATGATCATAACTTCAAGACCACAGTGGGTGCCAAAACTACAATCTAAAATCCATGAAACTACTTCACATTGCATGGTGTTCAATGTTAAAGGATTTAAAAAAGAGAAACGTGACCAGTTTGTTCAAAAGCTTTTCACTGTTATGCCAGGAACTAGTAAACAGCAGAGGGAGCTGTGCAACCAATTCTTCGTTTATCTTAATGAGCTGAAAGAACAGTTTGAAGCATTTGTAAAACTGCCTCTGACACTGGCACTCATGGCTCTGCTGTTTATAGACGACTCTGTTAGTGCAATGGAGGCACAGACAATTTCACAGCTCTACCGAAAACTCACAGATTTTATGCTGAAGAGGCTTGCTTCTCAACTGAACACATCTCAAGATAAGATTCGCGAGTGGATGTTAGCCCTGGAAGAAATAGCATGGATTAATCTAAAAAATAATCAGCACCATCTTAGTAACAGAGATGTAATTAAACTCAAGAGGAAAGGACAAAAACTTAATGTTGATGGTGCAAAGGCAATTTCTTCACTTTTGAATTGTGAGACCCAAACTAGCTTAACAGACTACTCTGAGGTCTGGACATTTACTCACAACTGTCAACAGGAATTTTTTGCAGCTGAGTCTATTGTTGATGATATGATAATGAATGATAAATCATTGAAGGATATTTTAGGATTTCATGGTCATGATAGTGAAGATAAAAAGCTGCAGAGATTAATTCAAGTAATAGAGTTCATAGCAGGTTTACTGTCTTTCGAAAAGGAAATAACGAGGGAAATTGCAAAAGAAATTATTGACATATCCTTGGTGCATGCCCCTTGGTCCTATACTTCAGTAAAAAGAATAGCTCATGACCTGTTTTTGGAGAATCCAGACCTGAAAGACATCCTAACGAACAGCTTTATAGGACAAGAGCTGATGGAATTCCTTGATGGGTATGACCCTCAAAGTGTAATATGGATTATAGAGAACACATCCATAGGTATTCCTTCTAGAGTCCGCTTGAGGAACACTATTACCACTGTACTCCAGATGGGGCCTTTATTAAAATTACTGGTTGATAAAACTTGTCTCCCTAATGTGATAATTGTCTTGGATCATGCTGGAGGTGTAAGTAAGGCTATAAACTTTATAAAAGGCCTTAATGAGTTGCCAGTAACATTCACTCTACTAACATGGAATTCCAACTCGCTCAGTGAACTCATTAACACTTGGCCTTGGTCACAGCCTCTGCATTTGTCCTTCCCTGTTTCTGTTTTCCCCCTTCTCTGGTGGGAATTAGTCATCTGTTTAGTGAAAAGTGGTCTAACACCCATTAGCATTGTGTACAGTAGCAGCAACTGTCGCTGCCGTACGCTGGTGGAGGAAGGAACAAGAATGTTGGGCACAATTTGCAAGACTGATATTTCACTGCATACTGGTGATATCATCATTTCTGTTGAAGATGGTGATAATAGTGTTGACAGAACATAAGTAATTGCCAAGTTTCTTACTAGTTGCTAAAATGTGATAACCATTTTTTTTTTTTATATACTGTACAGTACAATATACTGTACAAGTATTTATATAGTACTGTACAGTAGTTACATACTGGCTATACTGTACTGTATACGTGTACAGAACCTGTATATATGTATTTAAAAAAAATATTTTACACAGTACCACCTGTAATCCCAGTGTCAATCTTGTGATTATCTAATGTTAATTAATATGTCATTTAAAAGATGTGTTTAGAAATTTCTTAGAAAGTCAACATGGATAAGTATCCTATGTACCTGAACAGTATAAATATTCCAATTTAAATTTATGTGATGTAGGATAATTGATCTTTGGGAGAGTTAGGTCATGATTATTTTTGAAGACAAAATGATAATGAAATGTTGCCTGTAACACAATGCTCTCAGAACCCTGGAGTATGTTAAACACATTATAGGTCTTATTGTGATGCTTGATTGTACAGTATACAGGTACTGTATTGTTATTCTTCTGTATGGTATACTGTATTAATGTCAAAAACTGTTCCTTGATTCATTTACACATTATATTGTATATGTATTAAAAATGCTGTTCTTATAATTCAAAGTACAGTACAGTACTGTATATTATCATGAAGACATTGTTGCATGATTTATATGTACAGCACATTAATAACAGAAGCATTGTATTGTTTAGGTTGAATCAAAGTTGGTTCTGTCACTTTGGATAGGTTTGGGTAGATTTGACTTTTACTATTGCTTACTTTACTTTTTACTTTTAGCCTCTTTGCCACTGATCGGCTAGTTAGCCGCTTGGGCGGTCAGTCATGTCTCTGTTATGCATTGTTGGCAAGTACTGGGCATGCACTGGCTCCTGAATGTATCTGAACCCACTCCAGTGTTGGTCAAGTTTGGTCTTGAAAGAGCTCACACTCGGTGCCATCACAACACTCTTTGACAGGTTGTACCAAGAGTTTACAATTCTCACTCCAAAAAAGTTTGCCCGAACAGTTTTCCGGATTTGTGGCTTCTTCAATGTTGAGCTGTGACCCTTTATGGGGCAGGTGTCCATCAACTCCAGGTATTGACACTCAACTCAGTAGTGCCCTCAGAGATGCTTATACTCCTCAATTAGGTCACCCCTTGCCCACTGTAGTATAAGTGAGGCAGTTGCAGGTATTCTAATCTTTCTGGATAGCCGAAGTGCAGGCACCAGTCTGGTGGCTTTCCTTTGGACATTTTCAATCAACTGACAGTATCTAGCATATCTCGGGAACCAGACGGGGTGACATTACTCAAAGTGGGGAAGCAACTCGCTCTTGAAGATCGTTACATTGGTATGGACCGTTTAGATATCTAAACAACCTTCTTATAAGACCTACTAGTTTAGTTATTTGATTCACTTTCTTCTCACAATGGCTCGAGAACTTCAGTTCATTGTCAACGTCAACATCAACATCCAGGTCCTTTTCGCATCGTATTTATTAACGCAGATTCATTATCCTGTTCAGACATGTGATATGCCTCCTTACCATTGATATGACCTGAATCTTAGCCGACATTTCTTTGACCATCTTGAAGCTCACAGAGATCTTTCTATAGCTCTTCACAGTCTGTTTTGTTCTTAATTTTCCTGAATCACTTGGCATCATCTGCAAACATTTTTATGGAGAGTGTATAGCTTCTGAGATGTGATTTATGAAACAGACAAACAATAATTGGTCCAAGACACTGCCCTGTAGTACCCTGCTTGTCACGGATACACATGACGATTTCGTAACATTAATCGCCACATACTAGTACTTGCGATCATGCAGAAAGTCTCTGATTCATGCTAGGACACTTCCCATGCTAGTTTGTATGCAGTTAAGTACAGCACGTGCATGTAAAACGGGAAAACATCAGAAGATGAAATGCAAATTGATATAAAAAAAGAGGGTGATGCACAATAATTAGTATAAGTTTTAATGCAGCTTAAGAAATTACATTGCAATATGAAGAATGCCATTAAGTTCAAACAATGCTTTGGTCTTTAAAAATGGCAACACAAATATAATAAAAAAACCTACATACCAAATAACCTTAGAATTCAGTGTGCTTTGTTCACATTGCCTCTATGGATGCACCAGGACAAGCGGCTCGTAGGTGGAGGGGGAGGGGGGGGGGCACTGGCTTCTGTAAAGTATCAGTAAGGCAACAGGGGTAAATTATATTTAAAGACTTGTGAAAGAGAATAAATGAATGAATTACAATGTAAAAAGAGGAAATGTGCCTGTGTTTATTTCCAAAGAAGTTGAATATTACTGTACAGTACAGTTGTACCCCGCTTTACGCGGTCAATTGAACCCACAGGGTACCGCGTTAAGTGAAAACCGCGTTAAGTGAATAACAGAACATGTGGGATTAATTCCAATAGAGACTGGCCCGACCCCCAAACTCCATTTTTTGACGACACACAACTATGTTGTAGTAAAAATTTTATCTTAACTTTATGATGGTATGAACAAACAAGTAATATAGAAGAGGTTAGGTTAGGAAAAATAAAGGTTAAGTTAGGAAAAATAAAGGTTAGGTTAGGAAAACTAAAAGTTAGGTGTAACACTTACGTTAGTAGAAGAGACGGGTCGGCATACGGGGATGGAGGCGGAGGGGAGGGAGGGAGGAGGGAGAGATGAGGCAGGTGGCAGGCGGGAGTGGGTGGCGGGTGGGGTGAATCTAAAAATAGCGTCTCAAGCCGGACACTCTGCGCGTATATGGGTAGATGAACCGCGTTAAGTGAAAGTTCGGTTCTGGCGAGGCACCGCGTATATGAGAAATCGCGTTAAGTGAAACCGCGTAAAGCGGGGTACAACTGTACTGTACAGTAAAATTCAACTTCTTTGGAAATAAACACAGGCACATTTCCTCTTTTTACATTGTATTCATTCATTCATTCTCTTTCACAAGCCTTTAAATATAATTTACCCCTGTTGCCTTACTGATACTTTACAGAAGCCAGTGCCCCCCCCCCTCCCCCTCCACCTACGAGCTGCTTGTCCTGGTGCCACTGAGCCATTCAGTGCCTCCCACATGAGAAAGCTTGGTATGATACTAGCCATAAATATATACAGTAGTACAATATATATAAATGTTGTACAATACATAATACCTCCTTTCCTCACACAGCCAAACTGTGGAATGCTCTGCCTTCTTCTGTGTTTCCATACTCTTACAATCTGTCTCACTTCAAAAAGCTGGTTTTCCGGCATGTTCTTGGTGTATATTAATATAATCTTTTTCTTTTCAATTTTAATTTCTTTTTACTATTATTTTTTTGCCCCTTAGGCCCCGTTGTGGGTCAATGTCCTGTGCCCGGGTGGGCTATTCCCCTTGAAAAAAAAAAGCACACTGTCTGTCCTAAATATTTTAAATATATCTTGACAATAGGAATGTACAAGAATGCTAAACTACATTCAAATTAAATATCTAGAGAGAAAAAGATAAAGTTGCAGGACGGGTAAACCAAGATGGCACCATTTCTCCGCATGTTATTGGATGAAGTTTTTAAATTACAAGGTTTGGAGGAAATGTTAAGTATCACTGTTTGCCAATTTTATTGTAAGATATGGGTCAGACCAAAAAGAGTTGTGAATGCTCTACAAGAATCAAGCAAAGCTAGTTGAAGGTTAGGATAGAAATTGGCTTTCAAAGGAAACATTTTTCTACATGTTACAAATTTCCAGCATTTAGAGGTAGTCAAATAAAACTTGAAATGTTTTATTTACTGCTTTCACATTGGAAAGTAAACAGGTGCATTATTTAATTCCTCCACTAAATATAAGAGGAATTTTTAGAGTATCCATGTTTAGAACAGCTCTCATCAATAAATAGAAATGAAGGCAACATGTTCCTTGTCCAAAATAAAAAATATTTAACTACAGCAATGCATCCTGCCAGTGTTTATACAGTACAGTACTGCACAGTAGTATACAGTATGGATAAAAACATTACAACTAATTATAGAATAGATACAGAAACTCTTAAGCTATTCCATGATGGATATGAAAAGCTGTAACACACACAGGAAGTAAAAAAAAAATAATGGGTTTGATTACAGACATGTATGAAGCAATGTTGTGAAGACTAAGGGAGGATGTCAGTGAGCTGACCAATCTGGAAGTAGAATGACTAACAAGATTAGAAAACTCCCAGATAATCAGTACAGTACAGTTGTTCAAAAGAAGTGCTGTACAGGACTTTCTTCTATTCTGTCCAAAGTAATATTCACATACATACTTCACACATTTAATTCATAGATCAATGAACTCCAAAGGTGGACTGATGCAGAAGTTCTTGACCTATTAGACAGAGTTTGACATCAGTCTTACAAAGCTGCAGTCCTTTGTCCTTTCCTCCTTAGTCCCTTTAATTTTGTCTACAGTATTATATTTGATCACAGAGTAAGTGTAGTTCTTGATGGTCTTTTTCCTGATTGTCACACTTATCAGTTCTGGAGGTCCTCAGGGTTTATTCCTACTTCTTCTACACTCATATGATATAGTGCTGTCGAATTCCCATCTTTTCTACACCTGGGTTCTCATTTTGTCTGCCCCCATTATGTCTACTCTCAAAATGCCTGTATCACATTCCAGAATGTTTACTATCAATTAATGATCACTGAAAGTTACTACCTCCAGATTATCAAGTGATCCCTTAACCTCAATATACCTGAATAACTTAACCCAACCTACTCTTGCCTATCCTATCCTCAGCCCTACTTTTATGCACAAACTAAATGCTGTATGTATTATGTAAAAAATATATATATACCCCCGTACAGTATATATACAGTACAAGGATACTGTAAAATTAATGGAGTAGACATAATGGAAATCGCCATTCAGAGAATAGACATACTGTCCGGTGGGGCTATTGTGCCATAAGAAGGGTGTTTGGGCCACCTGCCTAAAAGTTCTCATTATATGAGTACATAGTTGTAAAAATATATACCCCTGTACCTGTAATATTGTTTAAAAATATACCCATTTGAAATTTATTTACTGATCAATATTTTAATTATCCCTAAATTTCAACATATTCCATGATTATTGTGACTACGTACTCATTTACATGAACATTTTTATTTTACAGTATTTACATAAATTGTTTGTAGACAGGGGCAGATCCAGGAATATCAAAGGGGGGTCCAAGAAGTTGTGGGTGGGGTAACATTGCAAGCACAGTGAGACCACCTAACTGGGGTGTTTTGAAATCTGTCTAATACAGTGTATGGGCATTGTTAAGGTGTACATTGTACATAATGGAGATATAGACTGTACATAGAAAGTGCAGGTATACAGTGTACTGTATACTGTACAGACATTAAAGGTATAGTACAGGGGCAGATCCAGGAATATCAAAAGGGGGGTCCAATAAGTTGTGGGTGGGGGAACATGGCGAGTGCAGTGAGCCCACCCAGCTAGTGTTTTTTGGGGGGGAAGGAGGGGGGGTGGAAGACCCCCAGCCCCCGATTTTTTTTTAATTTCGCCAAAATCATGGGCATTTTGAAACCATGTGCACTTGATATTAGGAGATATTCTGATGTCAATAGTAATTACTTTTGACTACACAAAAATGCTTGAGTACAATACTACATTAAAGAAAAAGTAATGGAATTTTCAGATGAAAAGAGGTGTCCAGACCCCCAGGACCCCCCTGGATCTGCCCTTGTATAGTGTACATTACGACTATTGGCAGCTCGTGGGCTGAATCCAACCCTTGAATAATTTTTAATTGGCCCTTTGATTGATTCAGAGCAATTACAAAAAAAAAACCAGGTGCTACTATAGCGTGCAGTCTACAAAGGAATGTTAGTCTAACCAAATCTGA